CACAGTGTCTGACCGGTCTTCTATTGTTCATAGGCGCCGAAATCGAGTGTTAAAGTGTTATAGGATCGCGGGTGTCAGCTAACCTGACCACCCAATATGTACGTGGGCTAATTCGTGAGCAAAGAGCATTTAAACTCACTACAGTCGCACAGTCACTTTTTTATACAATGCCCTCTATGCTTTCGTCATATTCGAAATTTCTGCCAACTCTATGATTCATTGTAACGTATACGGCTTGCACAGCGCTGCACAGTTTTAAGGAATGGAAATAATTCGTAAAAGATGAAAATTTAGCGCGCTTTTCGCTGATGACGAGTCTGGGTAAACATAGGCACTCAACACAGAAACATATTCGCAGGAAAAAAAGTAACAAGCAACTAATCTCCTGACAACTCCGCTTAACCTCTTTTTGCTATGATTACCATTTAAGAAGAAGACACACGACATGGTCGCTAAATTTCGAAGTTGAGAAGATGGATGTCTAAGAATAGTGTAAGGTTTGTCACCCAAACATGAAAAACCTTAAGGGTGTAAAGGTTAAGAAATGAGTAAGCATACAGCATGCTTCATTCATTTACAGGTGGACAAGGGCACTAAAGTTACAGAACAAGATAAGAGCAGCGTAGGCAAATGGTTTACAATCGAACACAAAAAAGGATATTCAAACTAAAATAGGGAAAAACACTGCAGAAACAATGCACTTGGGATGGAGAAGAAGTGAGGTGACCGAATGTAGGTTCAATATAAGATCCAAAAATAATAAAATTCAATAATTTATGCTAATTCAACTTCTCTACTCTTTAATATGAGTAAATTACTCGATCGCTCAAAATCATTAATAATCCTCATAACAAAAAATTGAACATTCAAAATTACTAAGGAAGTAGAAATTTCTTTCATTTCTCGCTTGATGTGCGAAAAGAAACAGCTGCAAGAATTTCAAATCTATATTTTCAGTACCACTGTGCTTATGAAAATTGGTACTAAAAACCATTCGAAAATAGTTTTTTTTGGCTCTACTTTCATTTTGTTCGTGATTTTATTTTTATTTCATTTAAAAGGACTTTCTTCTACCTACATAATCCTGAGATTTGCAGTTCTTAAGACGACACATTCCTTTAAATTAAAAAAAAACAGGTGGCAAAAGATTTAACCAACTATTTGAGCTACTTAGGCCATTATTTGCAGCCATGTGTAGCAATTTAAAGTGGCCATTTTCAGGGAGGAAAGTATGCTTCGTTCTGGCCGCAATAAAACTTATAAAAACGTTGCGGACATTACTCATCAAAATAAATAAAATTTCCGCCGCCACGAGGAGCGAACAGGAAACAGTTTGAGCTACCTCGATGCACTCTTAGATATGATCGTCTCGTACCCGTCGCGTGCGCGATGACCGTGTGGATTCGATCGTATCGCTAGCTGATCATCATCGACGACAAATTGTGGTTAGAGTAGGTAAGCATGCTGGTAGATTAGGGTTAGATTGCACTGATACTACAGATAAGGTAGAGAATTGGATGGTTCCGTGGTTAACACAAAATTCCTTTGTGGAAATGGTAACCAATTTTTCGTGCAGCAAGTCACTATAGCGAGAATTCCTTTTTCGAAATGATACTCTGTCACAG